AATCTTATATCATGAACTATTTCTTGAAGGTTCAATCATGATAACCTTAATGCCTACCAATATCATCATATTGAGTTTTTTTATATTTATAATGAATAAAACAAACATGAAGAAATGTAGAGGGAAAAAAATTCTCATCAGAATAATTTTCTCAGAAGAATCAGAAGAAAAAAGTAGAGAAAAGTTGGTGGAAAATTATATCTCTTGTTTACCATGGTGATCTCAAGATGGAATTGGTTCAACCTGAATTCAAACCTTTTGTGTTGAACTTGTTCAATGGTCATTCCATGGGCTTTAAATTGTTCCCATTTTGTGGTCAAACTTTACTTCGATTAATCGATAAATGTTCATATTGCTATTAAATATGATTGATTGTTATCATTGTCAAAAACATTGATTCCAATTGGCTAATTATCGGAAGCAAACCATTGTTCAACTTTCAACAGAATGGCAATTTTTCCATGGATAACAATCAGGGAAGGAAATTTTTCACTCCCAGCAATCTTGTATAGTTAATTTGTTTCAAGAATAAGAAAGTTGAAGAAGGAAAAATGAGTCTGGAAAAAAAGATACAAAATTCTTGAAGATGATGATGATGAGGAAGATGAGCAACGAAAAAGTTGAAATCGATAAAAAAAATCTATTGAATAGCAATTACCATGTTAATACATTCATGTTTACCCTTTCAATGAAAGGAATCACAATTGTTGGCAACATTATCATTAGCTTGATTTAAAATTCAATCAATCATTGATATTGTTGATCAGAATGAAAGTGAAGAGGCGAAAAAAAGAGAGAATGAAAAAAACGAAATTTCATGTTGAAACATTTCAAGTCGATTGGTTAGAGTAAACTTTCACTCTCATTGATACAGTCAGTTAATCGAGGTCACAATGAACCTTCAATATTCAATCTTGAAACATCTTATACAAAAGACTGACATTGAAAAGTCAAATGCAGATTCAAAGTGTTTGTAAAGAGGCTGACAAAGTCTCCAGCTTTAACCTGAAGCATTGACTTTCACGGTCAACTTTATGCTTGCAGGTTCACTAGCTGCTGCCATTGAATACAATATTTTTGCTCAACCAAGTGTAATGATATTTAGTTTAATCAATAAATTGTTTCATTTCACGGTTCACTTTGTACATCTTTATTCAATTAGACCTTCAATGTGTGAGTCTGTTTATCCAAAAGATTATCTAGTTAACTTATCATCATAGCTAATAAGTAAATATTAGCATGATTGAAACGGTTTGTTAGGTAATGCTAACATGGTGATGATAACATGGACCTAAACAAGTAAACAAGTAACCAATATTCAATATGAAACTAGTTAATGCTGCAAAGAAATCACTAAGTTGATCAGATTAACTTGGGAAAAAGTCTGCAGAAAAATTCCTTCAGAGTTTTTATTAAACCTTGTCTTACAGGGAGTTTTTTCACTCCAAGCCTGTTTGTGGTTATAACTCACAAAATATTGCTGCTAAAGGTCTCGGATTTGAACTAACTTGGATTAAAACTCAACGACAAAATGAACTGGAATTTTTTTCCAAAAAATTTTTCCTTTTCAATTAAAACGTCTATTTGGATTCAAATGCTTGAACACAGACTTGGATCTTAAGATGTTTTATTGACTATTATTGGCAATAATTGGGTCAATTAGAAACCTTTAGAAACGAAAAGTGAATTTTATCAGAGCTCAATCAAGAGTTCAAAGTCAAGAAGTTCATTTTTTATCACGAATCGAGTTTTCTCAAAACCTAACTCGCTTAATTGAGTGATATATTTGGACATTACGAGTTAACTGTAACACACATAAACCAGTGTGAAATGTGGCAGTTTGAGAATCAGCTTGAAATCCTGAACTTAACATGAACTTAAAGTAACTCTTGATGCTCATGGTTGAATCTCTGAGATCTGTATGAACGCAAACAGGCATAAAATGAAAGCAACTCCCTGTACAAGCTTATGTTATTGTTTGCCTCAAGTAAAATTGTAAACTTGAAATTTCACTTTTACTCTGTTAATGTTACAATTAACTGTTATCATAAGGTGAAAAGGTTTGGAATGAAAAAAATGAAATGAATAAATAAATAAAGACAAATAGTAAAAATAGAGTCTTGACTTTAATGATGAATTTAATGCCTAAGGTAATGTTTATTAGGTGAAATGAAAGGTATGAAATGGAAGCAAACAATTGAATCTTTTAATACATTGATTGATAATGCTGAGCAATCTGAATAACATTGAAGGTAATAATTTGTTATTTGATTACAAAGTTGTTATTGTTGAGGGTTAAATTGGTGATTATTTTGATGTAAGCCCATCAAGATGAATAAATCCTTTGACACAATTATGTTTCCTCATATAATCTGTGAAAGTGCACAACTCATGTTACCAATAATCATCATTATCATGAGCGAATAAAAATGAAAGTGAAATTACAAATTTCAAGGATTCGGATTATTGGTACGATCTGGTAACAATGCCAATTGTACTTGAAGGTGATTATGATTGTGAAGACAATATTGATCAGTTTAGTGTTTACTTCAAGATCAATCAAGGTGAATTATGTTTTTCTTGTGCTTTTGTTTCCTTTGAGATGAAGCAGATGAAATTAAAGGTGAAGATGAAAAAAAGCTTTTTACTGTTCATTTTTTAGCTCTTTTTTTGGGTTAAACAGACATCATGTAACTAATGAAAATTGTGGATTCTTACACCAGATTAGATGATATATTGTTGCCTTGGTTATCCTGTTTCATCAATTGTTTGATGACACAGCATGATAATGGCTTAAATGATCATTTTACTGGTGGCTTCGTAATCATCTCAAGATGAGAAAGATTATCAGGGAAAATGGGATACAAGGTGCTGATCATTTTTGATGACCATTATCATGTTGATAGAAAGTAATCCGAACAAAATTGTCGAGTTTAGGTTATTTTTGTTTACACATTTGTTGGATAAACGATTTACTTTGTGTTAATCATTTTCAGGTTTCGTTGTGAACTTGGTTCAGGATATATTTAGTGTCGATTGGAAATGGCAAGTCAAAACAAAATGAAAACTTTGACTTTTTATTTGACTCAAAATGGTAAATCCAATCCTTCCAAATGGTTAACTTGGAGAAACGAAATGTTTATTTCGCTTTGCAAATGGTTCAATGTTTTGCTTTTAACACCAGCATTTAACCTGTCACACTGATATTTAAAACAATCTGCACTTGTCATGCATTCTGGTTCTTATTTAAATTCAAATGGATGGAAAACTTGATCACAATTTGCTGCATCTAATGGCTTTTCCTAACAATGATCAGATTGAACACGTTTTCAAACACGAAATGCAATATAAACCTTCATTCAAAAAGTTACATTTTATCCTTAAAATTGGCGGTGTTCATCTGGCAGAATCTATATCAACTCGTCCATTTCGTTTAAAAAAGTCTAACCTTAAATTTCGCTTCATGTAGACATAAAAATTAGTTCAAAATAAGCTGTAAATGTCAGCCTCTATTGCAATTATGTTTGGATTGAGACGGAGACAATTCAAAGTGTTTTAAGGGGAAAATCTTGAAGCTTGGTTCGATTTGAATAGTTTATTTGTTCCCTTCAATTGTCTAGACAATTGTCATAAATCTGATATAACATCTTTATCCAACTCATTTACTGTCATATTGCATTTATTGCTGAATTTTGATCTTATATTGTCACGTCTTATCCAATCGTTGGCATCATTAAAACCATGTCTCTTACAAATTACAGTTATTTGCTAAATCCATCGTTGATTGCATCGAATCATATTTATAATATTTACAATAATATCTTGTGATCTTGTAAAGCAAATGCTAAAATATCATCTCGTGATATCCAATAAAGCTATTAATGCAATAATATTCCAATGAAAACATTTTGATCTCCAACGAAATACTCTTATGGCTTTAACTTATGAAAACTTTATGAAGTCGGAATCGCTTGAAATTGTGTATATTTGGCCGATTAAAACATCGAAGTCTTTTCTTGCTTATTTCAGCATTCGATTATGGATCGTTGGCCTGTTAACTTTGCTGTGAGTTTAGTTTGTATCAATCTCGATTTTATCATTCGATGAACAATCGCAATTGTCTTGAAAATAATTTCGATGGATCCAGTTTGCTGTCCATCAAAGCTTACTCTAGCTTGACATTTTCAATTTTACATACACAGTTGGTCAGTTTGACCTAAATTCAGCGTAACAAAGGACAATTTATGGAGGACAGAGAAGCTTAATGCATTGGAATCAGTTGAACGATTGAATAAAAAAACTGAGTCCAGGTAAAGTCAATTACAATCGGTGGAAGCAAGTTGAACACAAGATTCATGTTAACTAAAAGTCTGGCCAACAAAACTATTCCAAATGAATATCATTCCAGTTTACTAATAAAACTGATGGCCTGACCATGTACCAACCTAATTGACCTTAATGCATGGGTAATAAAGTCTCCATTCAATGGTTTAATCTTCAACAAAATAGCATTTCATGTTGAGAGTAAAATGATGAACCAAATTGTACCAAAAGTCAAAGACTGAAAATTACATGAAAAGACTTTTTCCATTCTCAAACTTTTCCTTTCCCATTAAATACATTTTTCAACACTTTCAGACTCAATCGGAATCAATCATGAAACTCATTTGAATTTAAATCATTTTCATCAATGTAAATACAAATCCTTTTCCTTTCGACTTTCAATCTTCAATTGAATCTGCAATTTAATCAAATCTAAAAGTTGAATCAATATTCAATCGATTTCACCGAATATCGAAAAAATTCAATTTCAAAATTGAACCAAATTGAGTACAAAAATGATTCAATTAGTTGATAGCAAATGAATAAATTGACAAAAGTTGTAAACAAAACATAATGAAGATACAAATTTGTTAGTCTTTTTTATTGCAAAAACAAAACTTGAACAGTAATTATAATATAATTAGCAATTAACATTTTGAACACAATTATTTTCAACAAACAAATTGTTAAACTTTTGTTTTGCATTAATTAACAATTTCAATTCAAATGAATGAATTATGAATAGAAAAATGTTCCATCAGCTTCACCAATTAACATGATTACAGTGAAAGATAATTAATAATACCAATCAAATTTGGCTTTACATTCAATCCTTGGGATTTATTGAACTTTCAATGGTTTCCATCATCACAATCAACTTGATTCCCTGCGAAAAATATAAGAAGAAAAAGAAAAACAATTTCAATTAGTTAACCAATTTAGTTTTCTCCTTCTTTAATCATATTTACAGTTTACTTCAATTTGCTTCATATTTTGAACAATTTTTTCGTTATTTCATTTTCCATCCACAATTTACTAATCATTTTGAGTAACTTGAAACGTACGTTTGTTACGTGATGTTCAAAGGTAACACAAAATTGTCATCACATTTGAGTTACAACTTTGACCTGACTTTTGGTGTCATTATCATTAATAGCATACACTTTAAACTTTGTTTTTCCACTCAATCATAATTGGATTGAAGTTACATTGCGTTCATCTTACATCCAAACTTTTCAAGAAAAATGTTTACATCAATAAATTGTATTAGATTTTTCATCTTTCATAATACTCTTGAGCTGCAATTCAATTTCAACTGATTTGCGTTCATTCAATTAGAACGAAACTTTGCCATCTTTGAATATTTCGTGTGAACATTCGATATTTTTCTCAAGATCTTCTTCTTGCAATTGAATGAATAAAACTAATTGCACTTTAATTGACACGAATATCTACTTCAACTTGTCGTTGGGTTAAAGACTTTTGAACCGAAAAGGCAATATAACAATTAAGTTTCAAGACAATCGATGATGGAGTTGTTTTACCAACAATTTACTCTCTGGAGGTTAATTGTTAAACAGGTTCGATTACTGTTTAAATTGATAATAATTCAGCTTGGATTTTATCTGTTTTTATAAAATGCTAATTCCATTTTTTGTTCACTTTGAAGGTTCAATCATTGTCATCAATCAAACTAAACATCATCAGCATAATCTCGTTGTATTTGCTCTATTAATTTATGAAACTTTAAAGCTCTGTAGTCAAGTGAATCAATTAAATTATCAACCATTGAAAAATCAATCCAACATTCAAAGCTGTTATTAAATTCTGGCTCATCAATCTTTTTCTGTTTCAAAGTTTAACTCAAACTCCACCTTCAATAGTTTTATGAACAAGTTGCATTCACAAGTTTTTTCAAACACTGAACAAAGGCTTGATAAACTGTTATGACCAAGTAAAGTGATCGAGTGCTGATAGTTTTTCATGATAACTCAATGGTTCAACTTTTATCTCGTTAACTAATCGCTTATCTGGAGCAATCATCTAATTTCCAGGATGAAGAAGTTGAAATTTTGAAGAGAAGAAGTTGAGGAAAAATATTTTTCCTCTCAAGAGAATGTTAATTATAAATAAACATTTTCTCTGGTTGATTGTGCTTTGAATACTTCATTAGGAGCATATTATTATTCGTCAACATTTCGTTATTCATTTTACCTTCTTATTTCACATGTTTACTGTGGCTTTGATTATATTATTATTTACTCGTTGAAAGGTAAGATTAGATGAATACTCTTAATTATACAGTTAAGCTTCAAGCTTCTGATGGACTTAGCGAAACTTTTTGTCTCTCTCTTCTTGTTTCATTATTATTATCATTATTTTACTTGCCTGTCATGAAAGTGTTTTCATCTTAGACTGAACAAGTTGAAAGAATTTTCTTTTTCTTTTCTCTTTTCTAAGAAAAAAAAGAGAGAAATAACAATTTCCTCAGATCAACAGAAAATAAATGCTCAAAGGTAATAGGATAAGATCTTTTAATTGTCTTGATAAGAACAAAATCTTTCTTGCAATTTATTCGCCTCTCACTTTTACCTTTTACATTTATCATCCTTTGAATCCATCAACTTGATAAACTATTCTTGATGCAAGTGTTATCAACTTATAAATAATATTAAATAATCAAATCAACATTCAAACTCCCTGATGGACTTTTAAAATGCTCATAACAAATCAATAAAAGAGTCACATTGAAAGGTTTTCATTGAAAGCACAATTAACTTTCAACATTTAAATGAAGGAAAATATCAAATAGAGAAATGATTTGAATAACATTTTGAAACAATCAGAAGAAGCAAATCAACTTCTGAATAACAATTTACTGATAAACTTATTAGATTTTATCTGGAAAATGATGTTCTTCAAGGAAATCGTTGAATTTGAATAAAACGATAATCATTGATCCATTAATGGATGTAACCTAATGAACAATTGATTATCACTGAGTAAACAAATTATCTTGTTGGTTTCTGGGCTAATTGTCTTAAAATTAAAGCATAACTGTTATCTGGGAATGTTAATAGTTGGATATTTTACAAGAATAGCAGATAATTTGTTGATGATCCTTTTTGCACATCATTATCATCGGTTCATTTTGTTAACCATTTCATCATTAACATGAATTAAGCATAAAAAGTAGCATATAATAGCAGATGAAACAATTTGCAAACAAACAATCATTATTCATGCTTCTCTTTTTTTGCTCGCTTTACTTTTCACTTTACCTAATCACTTTTCATCCAAATCGCAAATGTGAATCTCAATTAATTTAACAAATTGTTACAAGTTGAATCAAGTGAATCAGTAAATTGTAACACCATGAGAAAAGTTGTTAATTGAAGGAAAAAACATGAAACAAGGAAAAGGAAGACCTTTTAATGGGAACAGTTTTTTTTCTTCTTGCCAACTTCATTCTCTTTTCAGTTTGTAATGTTTACTTTTGCTGGATAAGAAGACAACTTTGATGATTTGTAATTTTGTTCAGCAACTTTTCATGATAATGATCATGTTGATGATGTTAATGTACTTGAAAGGGGTTAAAATTGTTTCAAAAATAAGACAAATTCAAAGCAAATGATCTTGTAAACCTCATGAGAGGAGCAGCAAAATATGTTTATACTTTTGCTATAATTCAATTGATCAAAGATGAGAGTAAAATGTTTCACAGTTGCATAAAGCTTTACAAAAGCTTTAAAGTTTCCAACTATTCATGGACATTCAAGTTGAGTTTGCATAATTGAAAGAAATGAAAAGAAATGAAATTTTCTTGAAACATTAAAAAAGATGAGTTTTCACATTTGTTTTGAATGAACCAATAAATCAACTCTTAATCGTCATCAATTGCAAATTAAATTAAATGCTAAAATTGTACCAATTTGCCCATTATTATCACATAAAATCAAACTTGAATTAAACTCGAATTAAACTTGAGTTAAACTCGAATCATAACTCGAATCATAACTTGAATCATAACTTCAATCATAACTCGAATCATGACTTAAAGTTGAGTTGAATTCATGATTCCATTTTGAAAGTAATTTCAGTTTATAATGAACTTTCAATGATAATTATGCTAATCAATGGAAGAACTGTTTGGTTAATATTTGCTTTTGAAAGGAAAAGTGGAAATATTTGATTTAATGAGGCATCAAAATTTTTTCAATGAACCGTTGAAAAATATCATGAAAGTAATCAGCAAGTCTATCAACTTTCAGTGTCAGGTAATCATTTAGTTAATCAAGTTAAGTGACAATGACAAATAAAATTGTGAACCAGATTAGTGAAGCTTTTGTAAAATGCTAATTAACTTCATTAACCTATTATTTATAGCATTATTTTTACATTAACAGTTGGCATAACCTTGCCATCAAGATAAACATTTAAATGAATCTAATTTAATTCCAACAATTTATCATTAGATGATGTATTTGCATTGTCCAATTCAATGGATACATTTACATGAACCTTTCATCTTCGGTCAATGAATAAACTTTTCAATAACTAAATGTATAAATAAATCAAAAGTATATTAATTGTTTCATCAACTGTTTATGATAAATTATTATTTATGACAATTTTGACAACAGTTTTCATATTGTAACATAAATATGATTTAGATGAAAGATGAACACATTTATCATTGACAGCATTTATTCAAGAAAAAAATGAAATAATTGAAAGAAGAAAAAATTGTGCTTAAAAATTGGCAATTTCATTAATCAAATGACCCTTTCATATTGATCTCTTGAAATTGTTCAATAAATTGTCTTGAACATTTGATCAACTTGAATTGGTTAAGTTATCTGAAAAGCTCTCAACTCCCACTCATGACAATCTTGTTAATAATAATAATGTATATTCAAGGTATGAAATTGAAGTGTCATGAGTGGGACAGGAACTATCAATGTTACGCCGTTTTTTGCTTAATATCAATCAAGTAACAGATATTAATTTTTAGTCTCTAGACTTGACATTTAAAATGCTCAAAAAATGCTTTTTGAATTATTCTCATTCTCTGAATATTAACAAGAGAAGTTCAATATTTCCTGATGAACCTTTTAATTTGACTTTTAATAGACAAACAATTGTCAATCACAATTCAGATTTGATCAATTGATAAACCAACTTCAAAATGAATTTAATGATTAAGATTGGAACATAAAATGTCTGTCAATCAATAAAGTAATTGAGTGTAAATCAGACAATTGTAAACTCCAATTTCTGAACTTTATGAAAATCATGCGAAAATGGTTTTAAAGTTCAAAGTTTCATTCTGATTTTGATTATCAAAAGGTCAAGATTGTCAGGATTTTAATAATAGTTTTGATGTTAAAATGTTACATTTGCTTCTTTGGATTTGAAAAGTTCATCTTTAGTGAATTTAGTTGACATTGATTGTTTAATTAAAGGATTGGTAATCAGTTTGAGTTGATTTAATGGAAAAGTTTCATGATTGTCATGATTAGTGGCTAATTTTGTATTAATATGACAGCAATTTGAATAGAAACTTTGTTCGTAACTGAATGTCATGAATATCAAATTGTAGCTTATGGATTATTAAACAATAAATAAATTGATTAACTGTTTCAAGCTTCCTTGAGACATTAATATTGATTGTTCAAATAAAAATTAACGATTTCTTGTTTATTTTTCCTTCTTCTTTCTGGTTCTTCAGTTTATCCCAATTTATCATGATATTGAATGATTATTTGAGTTGCTGTTATTGGTTAAATATAAATAATAGCATTAGCAGGAAATTGTAGGCTCTTCTGTACATTAGTTCTTGACTTGAATCATGTTCAAACTTGCATGTAATATAAATTTTCATTA